GAGAAGTGTGGCGCGCATACGGCTCTATCGCTGGACCCCGTGAGGACACATATCATGAGGTCAAGCCGAGCATCTTCTGGAGCTCGCCGCTGAGGGCGGCCGCCTGCGTCGCATCGTTGCCGCCAAGGTGGCTGCCTCGCACGAATACATTTGGGACTGTCCGCTGCTTGGTCAGCCGCGCCAGAGCCGTCTGCATCGCGGCGCCATCCGCAGCCTTGTCCAGTTCCACGGCGTGGTACTCGACGCCGAGGCTGTCGAAGAGAGATTTCGTGCGGGCTGAGTAGCCACACCGCGACTTGGAGTAGACCACCACCGGGTGCGCAGCGACAGTGGCAGCGATTTTCTGCTCGAGGTCGTCACTGCCGTCGGAGGCGGTCGCCACTCCCGCCGCTGTTAGAGCAGGAAAGGCCGACACCGCCGGCTGCTTCGCCACCATAAGCAGCAGGCCCGTGCGCGCCGGTGCAAGTCCTGCTCTCGCGAGGCCTGTTGAGCGGGGCAGCATGGGGGAGGTTTTCCTTTTTATTAAGACTTGAAGGCGGGGCGGCAGCGCATCGGGATGGCATCGGCTACAAGAAGAGTGGGACCGCGGACCACCGCGCGCACTCTCTCCTGACTCCAAAAATTATCTTCGCACACAAAATAGAAGAAGAGAGAAATCACAAGAGAGACCACATTTCTTGTTGGCTTCTAAAAATCTCTCAAATCACAGCGTGCGCTTCACAAAACTCAGAACAATACTTTCAACTAACTCCCAGAGAGCACGACAACGGAAGGTGCTCGTCTACATACAATGTCTAGCGAGGTCGTAGACCTGCGGCGCGAGGTTTAGCTGCAATTTGTGCATGCTCCAGGGGCACGATCCATTGCGAAAATGGTCGAGCACCATTGGCCGACGAACGGGGTCCTTGTGTATCGTGCTCCAGAAAACATTGTAGCGAATGTTCTCAACGGGGCTGATCGCGTCGCGCAGCGCTGCACTCATGAAGTCAAAATTCTCGTGGGCGTGCAGATACCGCGTGCCGTTGTGCAAGTTGCTGATGCAAGTGTTCAGTCGGAAGTCCGCAGACCCGCACACCAAGCGCCGCGTGCACAGAGCCCAGTCAGCGGATGGGATGGCATCGAGCAGCCCTCTGGAGAGCAGGATGCCCGTCCCGCCGTACGGATCAAAGTGCGGCGGACGGTAGTACGCCGTGCCGTTTGGCGAGAGAGCAAACGAGTCGGCAGCGGGCAGGACCGGGCACATGCAGCAGCCGCGCATCGCAGGTGACTGCAAGCGCAGCTCGTAGTTTCCGTCGCCGTTCTCTTTGGTGCACACGCTCTCGCATGAAGCGTCGCTACGTCTGACGACGCCGCCGTACGCCTTTCCGAATCCGCCCATCATGCCAATGGCGATGGGTCGCCTCCACTCCAAAGAGCGGGTTCGCGCGCGAAGCGTCCTGTCAAAGCAGAAGGTGTCTGCGTCGACGACCATGATCCAGCGGGCAGTCGGGAAGCTCATGTTGGCGATGTGCGCAGCCCATAGCATGTTGGCATCGCTGATGAAGCGGTACCGCGATGCGGGATTCGAAGCGCCACGCTTCTCCCGCGCGTGCACGCCCCGGAAGTTGGCGGCGAACGGACCCTTCGGAGCATCCGGCACGTACACAAACTTTTTGCCGCTGAGCCACGTGCGATTCCAAACCTCGAGGTGGCGGCCATGCGAAGGGCCGTACAGGGCGTACACGATGTGCGCTAAGCGATCCGAGGCCGTCGGCGTGTGCGCGTCGCAGTTCACGCACGTGGTGTGCCCATCGCGTGTGCGCATCTCGCGTTCCTTTGATCTAGAAAGAAGAATTTTACAACGAAACTCCCTCGCACGACACTGGGCACAGGACTGGGCACGGGACTGGCTCGCACTGGCACTAACACAGGTACACCAGAAAGAAGAATTCAAAAACTAACTTCTCTCAGAGCAGACAGGCTCGACACAGGTGCGAACTGGCGCGTGCTAGTACTAAGAATTTTATGATCCACTCCCTCGCACAACACTGGGCACGGGACTGGCGCGCACTGGCACTAACTAACATGGAAAGAAAGAAAGAAAGAAAGATCTACTCCAAAGCAGACCAACCCTCGGAGAACCGTGTTTACTTTATGGCCCTTTCCCTGCGAACGCGCAACCCCCCTAGGGGCTAGGGGTCAGGGCTCTCTAGCCCGTAGCCCGATCCCGATCATCCGGCCCGCTGGGTGCGCTTCTTAGCTCCCCGGCCCTGGATGTGAGGCTAATGACTGCACTCCAAGTGCTCCAAGTGCTCCACCCGAAACGAGGGACGGGAGCGACGTCTCTTTTCCTTTCCTTTTTTCTCTGCAGCACCCTCTCTTTCCCTCTCTATTTTCCCGGGAAAACCATCAAATTTTCCGGGCTCTGAGCCGAGTCTGAGGCTGGTTTGGGCCCAAAATCAGCCAAATCGGCAAAATACCGGGTATTTTGCGGGTATACCTGGAAAACCCCGGGTATACCTGGAAAATATCCTGCGACCGCCTGGGTATCGTGCCGATTTCCTCAATTTTGCGTCAGATTTTGCCCCAGACCAGCTCTCAGACTCAGGGAAACTCGCGAGTTTCCAGAATGGAGCACCAAACACCCTCTGTTTTCCCTGGAAATTTCCGGAAACGCAAAGTGCTGGGGACCCTCTGTTTTCCTTTTTGTTTGCCGGAAAAGCTTGTGCAGGCCAAACCGGGACGCGGTCGGGCGATCTGAGGCCCAACTAGGCGTACGCATTGCCCATCCAGGGCTATCACCTGGACCTATCAACAGGCGCCTGCGGCGCCGTGCTCAGGAGCTGCTGTTCACAGCTGCACAGACTTTCGTACGGACGGCACAGTAGGTAGACAGGTGAAGAACAGACAGTCTGGCTCGGACTGGACACGTGGACACCAACGCGGAACATATGGTGGACGCGAGACAGAAGAGGACGACACGCGCGAGCGGCGCGAGCGACACACACACACACACAAGCTCACAAGACACTCGCGCACAGAGACCTCGACAGCAAAGGACCCGAACCCGTGTGTTGCTGAGCGTGTTGCCGGCTGGCCCAGCTGCGGTTCCACCACATCCCGCCGCTCCCCATGGCTGCCGCGCCGTCCGACGCTCCATCCCTCGCCGCCGCAGGATGGTCAACGTCGGAGGCTCGGTCTCGGAGGTGGGGCCGTCGGGCCGGCCGCCGAGCAGCCAGGAGCTGTACGCGGCGGGTCGCGTGATTGGCTACAAGTGCTTCGACCAGAACTACGACTTTATGAAGTGCAAGGCCAAGGACGACAACCCGACCGCCTGTGTCTCCGAGGGCGACGCGGTGCACGGCTGCGTGTACGGCCTGTTCAAGCAGATCTCCTCGACGACAAAGAAGGAGTTTGACGCGCTCGCCAAGTGTCTAGACAACGAGGACCTTCAGCCCCACATGTGCAAGGCCAAGCAGGCGGCATTTGAGTCCACCTTCTACGCGAAGACCAGCTGAGCCCCCCTCTCCCTCTACTGTTGCCGGCCGCCATGCCCCTCCCCCACGCCCCCTTGCCGTGAGTCAGGCCGTGATGTCGAGCGCAGGGCCGCCCTCCGCGCAGCCCGCGCGCCGTGTCTGGGGGCTCTCACTGTGCTTGCTGCGCGAGCAGCTTGCTTCAGTACCTGTGGAGTAGCGCTGCGGGCACTAGGCCGGTCCTTGGAGTCAGACCGCATGGCGCGGCGTACGGGTTTGTCCGCGCTCGGTCTCGCGGGCCCGGGGCGGCGGGCGGGGTCGCTCAATGGCTAGGCTTTATTTTCGTAGAGAGACGCCTTACGGTACGAACACTTGTTGGTTGAACAAGTGAGACAGGACGCCACACACGTGTCACTCTAGTCAGCACGCTAAACCACTCTATTGTGGGAGATTCAGATACAGGGCGGTGACAGCAGGGAGCAGGCTCGGCTGTGTGCTAGCTGAGCACCGGAGCAGGGGGCCACAGGCACAGACAACAAGCGCCGCGCCGGGCTCTTCGGCGCGGGCTGTCTGAGCGTCACCGCGGACACAGAGCCACAAACGCGGATAGGGCAAGCCACCCAACAATGGAGCATGCGGAGATAGCGCGACCGGGCGGCTAACCCTAGCCGGCCGGGGGGGGGCAGCAGCAGCACCGGCAGCCCCCC